TCAAAGTGGGTTCCTCGTCACCGAATTAGGTGAATATACATTTCTCCACCTGCATTTCTAGTATTAAACGTAAAGAAAGTTATAACAAGTCAAATTAATGTCTGTACAGTTGGATTTTTAAGCTTATCAATAACGTTTTCATGGTGCTGTTATAGGTTACAGAAGCTTTTAAGAACAATGTATTTTAATTTGGCTACAAACAACACGGTTAGTCACTCCACACACTTTCGATGGGGACCCAAGTGTACCACCTGGTGGTGATCAATGGTATAAGTGTTAGGTTTTATTGGTTTGAGAATATTGGTAACTTAAAGAAGACGTGATGGTTCTATTGATTGAATTTTAAGTTCTGAAACGTTTTTGGAATAAAAAATATATTATATTTTCTATTGAAGACTTACTCCACCTGTCATCCTCGTTTTATGCTTATTGTTTCTTCTACCCTTTTTGGGCTCGGGGCCAAACTGGTTAAATATTGTTATACCGTATGTTGAAGGTTGCTACTCCACCTGGTGGCGGAATCTTCTATACATCAACTCGTTGTACAAACCTGAACAGGTGAGATTATTTCTTTCGTGCGCTAATGATATATCAGATGTGTCTATCATAAATTGTAACTTGGTTGTAAAGATATATATATATATAAGTTTGACCATTAGTTCCTTCTGTATTAGAACGTAAAGGCGTAGACACAATTATCAGTGGTTTTTTTTTTTTTAGCTAATTGGTTTCATTATTTTTATAACAACCGAAAAGTTCTCTTTCACGCGTTTTAATCCATCTATCTGTTATTCTAATATTTATTGTCGTGTGCTTAAGATAATTATTTATGTTTTTGTAGTATTTATTCTAAGTAATATTACTTTAAATGCTTCATAACTTAAAGTAAGAGCTAACTTCTGATGAACTTTGATTATATATTACTTTTATTTCCAAATTTCTGATCCGTATACATATAGACATGTTGCTTTCTTTGTCATTTTTGTAATTGTTTCGACCAGTGGAGTTTTACCTTTAGAAGTTTAGATCGTGCCATACTAAACACTTTAATGAAAGAGCCTATATGCATGTACTGGACACGAAATCACAGTTTACCTAAACCTAATAGAATTATTTCTCTTGTGATTTCAGTGTCTTGGACAAACGTGGTACATATCGTGTGACTTTATCTTCCATGTCTTGTCTCTGATGGTGTTCATCCCGATGTTCAGGTAAGCTACAAAACTGACACAACTCAAGCAGATATACATATACACACAGAGGTTTGAGGACGTTATATTAAAATGAACGTGTAAATCATGTGACAGGTATAGCCGACACAAAGTCTCGGTGGAACCGATTGTATCACAACTACATTTTGACATTGTTTGGCATTTCGAAGGTAATGTAATATCACCATAAACTAATTATTTTTGGATAGGTTATGCAACAATCCATAGACACACAAAATATTCATACACTCGAACAAAAATGATGTGTTCAGGTTTGAAATGTAGAATTTCCAGTACAGGGATATCGTTTGTACTCATTATAAAAAAAATGACTATGGATTGACTGTGGAAGCAGGACCATCCAGAAAGAGCCCTGCAACAATTCGTACCTGAGCCATGATAAGCAAAATATGACGGAAAGGAAAGGAAAACGAACTGTAGAAAACACTAGCCAGGATAAAATACTGGCACTTGATGAAGCGTGTGTGTATCTTAACTACTGTAATAAGTCTCGTGCCATTTTATATCAGTCATTGGTTCAACAAAACATCCAAAGTGGTAAGTGAACGTTTTCGAAGAGACTCATGATCAGTGCTGAATCCTGTGTCAGAGGCAAGTTAGGGATCAGGATAATAAAATCAAAGTGAACTCTGCTTTCCATCGGACCAATGAACCATTTCAACTACATAGAAATACCGGCTTTGTATAGAAACAAGTTAAAGAGGCTATGGGCTCACCAAGATAATTGTATACCTCAAGCATCTTACCACCGAAACGGGTATTCGTGCTATTCTATACAAAAACATACCAGTGAAATCACTGGATGCAGCGTCCTGATGTATTACGGAAACTCTGCAGAAAGAAATGGTGTGATTTGAACTTTATAGCCTAACAACGGAATCCTTTGCAATGAAAAATACACTACAGAGCTTATTCCAAGATGCACGGTCGTCATAGAAAACATGATCGGACGTGAGGACGTGGACTGTAACGACTTGGTAAGGCTTCAAAATCGTTTTAATATAACGTCCCCAATCCTCTGTAAATGTGTGTGTGTGTGTGTGCGTATGAGAGTACTTATATTTCTGAGTAAATATAAAGATGTAGCCCAGTCGGTCAAAATGAATAAAAAAACAAACATAATTCATGACATTCTCTCAATCAAACATTTCTAGATTTATCTATTTTTAATTTAGTCTGCCCATCAGGTGTAAAACATAGCATCACTCCAACTAATGAAAGATAACACTCTCATCCTTTTACCCCCTGTGGCTCAGCGGTAAGTCTAAGGGTGTATAACGCTAAAAACCGGGTTTCGATTACCCGTCGTGTGAACAGCACAGATAGCCAGCCCATTGTGTAGCTTTCTGTTCAACAACAAACAAATGGAAAACGCGAACCTACCAATACCAACGTTTCTTGAACGTGCTTTATTATAGCACCAAACTTTAATGTGTCGTGTCATCAGCTGACGAAAACAAGCAGATACTTAAGAACGACTTTCGCTGTCTTTATACACCAAGAAATGTGGGATAGATTCGCAGCTGACACCTTTTACAACATGTTTTTCTTCTTCTTCTTGAAACATTTTTTTTTTTGAAAGTTTGACTTGCCGCGCAAGTTAAGTAATGCTGAATAACTCAAGAAATTACTTTCTCGTTATAAATCTCTGCTTTCAAGACGGCGATACCGTTGTGATTTAATTGCCTGGATAGTGTTTGGTGGTAGTTTTAGTAGTGACTAAATCATTAGTTACCAGCTCTTCGATCCGATTCAAAGTAAACTACGTGGATGCGCTGACTATTCTGGGCTAAACCTAATAAGGCTTCAGAAAAGATGATTAGTTTGTCTTCCACGAGATGGAATTATTTTGATTTTAACTTTTTTGTATAAATCCTATTTATGTACTACCTTCTTTCGCGTATACACACACACACACACATGGGTGAAAGATTAAGAAGATAAAATTATGGATAGTCTTTATTCAAAAATCAAGAACAGCAACGTAATGTAAAGTTTACCATATAGAACTAAAAGTTAAGCCTGACAAGTATTTAATTGTATGTTAGTTGGTAACTCATAAAAATAAAAACAATAATGCAGTACACGTGTTTTTATAAAATTTAACATTATATAATTCGCTCTTATAAGACGGATTAACTAAATCAATCATTACTAACCAGTACTGTGTCAATCATTGATTAGCTTACTTGTCTAAGTAATGTAGAAAATCGCACAACGTGCAGAATTAATCGTGTCATAAACAGAAACAACAATAGATGCTACAACAATAGAAACAACAATACATGCTACTCTATATCAAGTTCAACAATTACGTTTATACACTAATTAAATATGAAGAAGTTATATGCCTTTCTTCTTCTTAGTTTTCTTAGGAACATGATATACGCCCCTCGAATGAGTCTCCTATTTTCTCTTATTGTTTGCCAAATCATTAAACACGACTTAGAACAGCGAGTTAATGCTGGATATCTTCTGAAACATTCTTGGCGGTTATGGCTCGTTTACGTTATTTCTGTAAATTGGAACCACGGTTGGAATTCTAAGAGCATATTCTTTGATCACTTAAACAACCAACTCAAGTGGAAAATGATAATCAACGTTGTTTCCTTGATGCTTTTGTAATAAAAGACAAGAGAAAACTACTCCCAAGTGTGTAAAGAAAAATCGACACAAACAGACCTGTATTTAATTTGATTTTTGCCATCCTACATAAATTAACATAAATGTTATATCGTATCTCTATTCTCATCAACACTCTATCACTGTGATCATAAATTAATACTCTATCACTGTGATAATAATTTCTTAGAAAAGAAAACACTTTACATTTCACACTATTATATTTAACCATTAGCTAAAAATAATAAAAACGTTTTAACATACAACCTGAACGCAAAAATGAAGCACCATTTGCCACAATACTCCTCCTTCATGAACTTGGATTTATATGGAAACATTATGGTATTCATTTCATCCTTGCCCCCCAGTGGCACAGCGGAATGTCTGCGGACTTACAACGCTAAAAACCGGGTTTCCATACCCGTGTTGGGCAGAGCACAGATAGCTCATTGTATAGCTTTGTGCTTAATTCTAAGCAAACAAACAAACAAATTTCATCCTTTTAATGAACCACCATTTGCCATAATACTCTTCCTTCATGAACTTCGACTTATATGAAGGCATTATGGTATTCATTTCATCCTTTTAATGAACCACCATTTGCCATAATATTATTCCTTCATGAACTTCGACTTATATGGAAACATTATGGTATTTATTTCATCTTTTTAATGAACCACCATTTGCCATAATACTCTTCCTTCATGAACTTCGACTTATATGGAAACATTATGGTATTCATTTCATCTTTTTAATGAACCACCATTTACCATAATACTCTTCTTTCCTGAACTTCGACTTATATGGAAACATTATGGTATTCATTTCATCCTTTTAATGAACCATAATTTGCCACAATACTCTTCCTTCCTGAACCTGGACTGATATGGAAACATTATGGTATTCATTTCATCCCTTTTCTTACAAAAAGAACAGAACTTTAAAATATCTTTTAACATTCTTGTTTGTTCATTTCTTATTAAATACAAAGCTGCACAATGGGCTATCGGTATTGTACTCATCATGTGTATCGAAACCAGATTTTTAGCGTTATAAGTCCTGAGCCTTTACAGCTGAGCCATTGAGGGGCGCTTTTTTAAATTAAACCCAAAGATCCGATAACCCAATTTGTAAGCATAATGTTATTTATAGCGTAAAATGTAATTGTAGGAAGTAGTTAATTGAGGTGAACCAACACACTTCTTCAGGTTCGTACTGTGAACACACACAAAAAACAAAAAACCACTTATTCCATTTCGTGATAAGGTAAAATCAACTATTGCTAACCTCTGGAATTCAACAGTATAAAATAGAAATCATTGACAATGAATCAAAATCCTACAAAAGAAACCATATACATCAACACAAGAAATTATAGACCAAAGTACTGCTTGAATAAGGACTCTGATGGAATATAGATCAGCGAATCTATATAAATAAAATAGTACTGTCTGTTGTATGTCCATGTAACTACTTTGCATACTTTACAGGGTATGGATGAATCTTCACCAAAATTGGTATGGAGTTCATTAGGTCCATGCGGGGGG